TACATGTCCATGGAGAAAACATAGTAGACACGTCTCAGAATGAATCAGGTATCCCCACCGTCCCTAAAAGGCCAGACAAGTCTTTATAGACTAACAATGCCCGGATATTTAAACTGTAGAGCTGTGATATTACTGGTCCCATACAACACATAAGGATCAGGACGCCATCACATAAGGAAGCAGTAAAAGAACTTACACCAACATATGAACAAAGTCTACTTTTTATATTAGAATTCTTCAGATTATAATATATATATATATATATATATAGGTAGATGGATAGATAAATTCAAAACCTGAATTCTTTCTGGAGAAAAAATATAACTAAGGTTATCTTTGCTCAAAGGTCAATGAAACACCAAAAACAGTCTACTTTACTACAAGATTTATGTTGCTGTTGCTGTACATAAATCACATGTTATGTTTCCCCAGCAGAGCTCAAAACTCCCAAGTATCGTCTTTGTCTCAAGATGATATGAGACTAGCCTCATCCTTTCCATAGATACGCTGAAGTTCACGGGTGGCAGCCTGAAAAGAAGCTGAACAATTTCCAAATAAAAGAGAATATGAATGAGAAATATAGGATTTATCTTGTATTTCTACTGTCTTGCTCTTGCTCATACTAAAACATATATGTTTCTCACCTTTCCAGGAGCGGAAATTTTTCTGATTGATTGGAGATCCAGTTATGTGTTGGATTGCATCGAACAGATTTTCTTGAGGAGTGTTCTTCAGTTCTTGAACAATTGAATAGATGGTTTTTCCATTCTCAAAGTAAATGTGATTATTAGGGTGTTTTGTCTTGCAATTAGCATGGCGCTCGAACTCATAGGCATTTAGAGGCTACATGACATAATTTAGGTGAGACTGGTTATTTTGCTAAAATGATACAGGAGATAAGTACTTGTTTGATGCTGAATTTAGAAAATGTTACCGAGCTGAGCTTATTACAAGAAGCTGAAATTTTAATGACTTCCTTACCCTAGATAGGTTACACTCGTTGCAGCCACACAGGTATCCAGTCCCTTTTATAACACCCTTGAGGCTTTTCTGTCAATCAAAGATGTTAATTATTGCTAAAATTAAAGTTGCATCTTCTTTTCAAAATGTAAGATAATCAGATCTTACCTCCCGTGACCAGGAAACATACTTCACAGCGACCCCATCAAAAATACCAGTCGATAACAAGCTTTTAACATTTGAAGGAAAAGTATTTGGAGAAACCATCTTAGCTGTCTTGGGATCTTTATTCTTTCGGGGAGCACCAGCTTTAGCATTAGGTTTTAAAGAAATATTTACTTCTGGATCCACATTTTCCTCAGCCACCTCTTTATGTGCAGGTTCAGGTTCCTCAGAAACTTGATCAGAGTTTTGAGAGCTCATTAGCAAATCATAACTGCTAATGATACTGCCAGGAGGATTTGCCCCAGGTTCATCATGAAATCCTCCAAAGGATATGGTACTGCCCTCACCTTTATCATAGTTTTGACCCATAGACAAAATGTTTGTGTCCCTGGCATCTTGGAAACGACCAAATGGTTCCATGGTACAATCCTTCTTAACGTAAGGTGGACCCATTGATATAGTATTTCGATCCTCTTTATTACAGGCAGGAGTTACTGAAATTATATTCTCATCTGCTTTGTTGTAGCTGGGTGCCATAGAAATGAAACTCTCTAGCCCCTTACTATAAGAAGGACCCATTGATATGAGATTGTTATCCCCTTTCCCATATGGCTGTCCCATCGATATAAAGTTACCACCCCCTTTGTCAAAGGATTGAGCTATTGACAAGATATTCCCAGTGCTCTTGTCATAATTGTGGCCCATGGACATGAAACTGGCGTCTCCCTTGCCAAAAGTGTGACTCATTGAAATAAAATTACTACTCGCCTTACTAAAGGCAGGCGCTATTGAGATGGGATTCTCACCATTACCATAAGTTGGGCCCAAGGATGTAGTGTTGCTCTCATTCTTTCTGTAGTTGCTACCCATTGCTAAGCTGTTATCGCCCCTGCCATAATTCTCTAAGGGTGCTGTCATGCCATTGTTGGAGTCTTTAACTTGATTGACCTTAACCTTCCTGAGTCCACAAAAACTGAGACATGATGAGGGGTCTTCTACAGTATGAGACATGGACAAACTAATTGATGAATTGTGTTCATACTGCTCCTCAAAATCCTTTTGTCCCACATTCATATTTCCATTATCATCAGAAGTAATATTCCTATCAGCCCCCACAGGCTCAGATCCAAATTGCTGATCAGTAAATTGTCCAGAAACTGAATGAAAACGAGAAGTATTACACCATGAAGGCACATTCATGTGTGGGACTCCCAAAGAAGGCCTATTAACACCTATGGCTTGCTTTTTGTTGCCCAGTAGTTCCGATCCAGTGATATCCATAAACCATTGATGATTTCGCTTTGATTCAACTCTCGAGGAACCATCATAGGTTATCTCTCCGTTGGGTAGACATTCAGCACTCCTAGGCAACCAAAAACCTTTTGGCTCGAAAGACTGTTAAAAAATAATTACTACTATTAGCTGAGAACCAAATCATGTAACCTTAATCAACAATAACATATTAAAAATGAAAATAAGAGGCTTGCCTTTTGTAATAACATCTAAAAAATTAGAAGAATTAAGATTAAAAAAAAAAACATACTGTGCCACCTGCATGTTCAGCAGCCCAAGAAACATATTGAGGATTCATGAATACAGAATAAAAAAGAGAACAAGAACAGCATGCAGAACAGCTTGCTAGTGCTACCTTATTGATAAACAATAATGATTGCAGGAAACAGGAATAGACTAAAAATTGATTGATTCTTGAAAAAATTAAATATGCATAACTAAAATGTCCAAGTCTATAGAAACATCCTGATTTCCCACCTGAGATGCTTTTCCTCTAGACAGTTACAAATACATCAATATCGTAGTCCACTTGAGATTCAATGAATTACAGAAAGCAGAATATCAGTTTTCCTTAGTCAAAAGATGCTGATCAAAAGTCTGACGAGCATTTCCTATCAGGTCCAAGAGGGCCAACCTTTCCTAGACCCAAAAAACGAGAATTTCTACGAATCTTTTGCCAAATATTTCCAATTTCTAGAATTAGACCTCAGAACCCAAATTCTTCAAATCACGGACTAAGATTGCATGTGTAAGACATTATTAACATCCTTTTCAAGGTTATCGCAGTTTCGAACATACAGGTAAAAGGAAACCTCTTAACACCTCCAGACTTTTTTTCCCTAGTCAGATATAAAGCTTTGAATATATTGATTTTTAATCAAAGAGTGAAACAAGGCAAATAACCTTTCAGTGAACTTGTCAAGATTTTGCAATTTTGATCTAAAGCAGATAATGATTTTCTAAAACCTGAAAATCTTCCATTTCTCCAAGTAACCCACAGACTAAGGATATCAGGAATCTCAATTATATCGAAGATCAACAACCAAAAAATTTTTAGCAGTCAGGCATTTCACCACAATGTTTGAATGCAAGGTGAAGAACCTTTCTACCAACTCGGTTGTATAATATGTAAAGCATCTTATCAATAATATACAGTATCTTACATGACACGAATGGATCCTGATAATGTACAGGAATATGTTTAGGAATGTAGTTACATAAAGTTAACGAAGCAAGAAATATCTCGAATTTGGGACCTCCACAACTAAGTAACCATATATAGAAGTAAGAAAGGAAATACAGCCCAAGAAGACAAGAAGAAAACCAGATTACTTTAGTGAAAAGTGGAAAAAGAAAATGCAAAGTCCAAAAAAACCTAGGAAGAACAAGATAAACGTGTCAACCCACTATCTTACACCAACACAACTGGGAAGAACAGGTGACACATGGTAGAAAAAAGAAAATGTCAACAGCAGCACATAGAAGCAAAATTCAAGACTTGTGCCTTGTAATGAAAACTATATAAAATTGTAAAACACAATCACATCAATCCATCATGCAACTCAGTCACTCATCCATAGTGTCCAATACTTATTCAAGACTTGTCATGTTGCCATACATCAAACTGTACTTGAATCCAGCACCAATATCCCGAAGATTTACTAGTCCAAGATACTATTCCCAAATCTATAAATCTAATTTTTTGGTTTCCATCTATTTCTCGGTTAATTCAAGTGTAGCAATACACCAAATGCTGCAAAGACAGTGCAGTTTCATCAATAGAAAAACAAGATTCCTAACGTATACTGGAATCATAGCCAATCATTTCCAACCTTATATGCCAAGCAGTACTGCACTAGCAGTATGACAATCTACTTGAAGACAGACCAATCTAGGAATAGAGGAATAAGTGAACAACAGGTTGACCTGTAGCTAACACAGGAATATAGGACCAGAGTTTTAAAAGCATGTAGCTAATCTCTTCTTATTCTTTCATCCAAATAATGCATTCATTTCATATTTTTTAGATAAAAAATTCCATTCTCTGTTTTATTGTCACGAGAAATTCGGATAACCAAACCCAGATCTGGAAAGGCACCACAAAGAGGAAAAGGGCAACCGAATGTAGATTCCGAAAATGGTAAATAATCCTGGTAATTATATGTCCACATCTGCCTAATCTGTATGGACTTCTTTCCATTAATTGACCAGTTCATTTCCCCATCACTCGCATTTAAATATCATCTGACCACAAAGAATCTGACACAACCTATGGGCAATCCTGCTCATAACAAACATTCTCCTACTCTTGTTAAGATGGTAATGATTATAGCAAACACAAAAGGAAAAATCAATAAAACTTAATAACAGCGCATCTCTCTACTTGCTTATTCATGAGTGATGAGCTAAAAATACCAGCAAATTAAATCACATCAAAGTTCTGAACGTTGAACCAGAAAACAGAAAACAAGTTCCATTTCAACTAAACCATATTTATCATATCAAAATATTAAGTATTGAACCATAACTCAAACAAAAACAATTACATATACGTGTGTGTGTGTATACATATTTATATTAGGAACATAACACAGTGGCATTTTAACCAAAGCTTTTCATCCTCACAACCCTGAAATCACAACCAATTGAGAGTAGAAAAGAAAAATCATCAAAAGTACAAACATACTCTGCCTCTAAAAGTTAAGAACGCGAAGTACAACATAAACCAATAGTGCGTCTAAAAGAACCAAATAGAACATGACACGCGAAGCCCTAATCACGGAAGCCGAAAAGATAAGTTCTTTTTTTCTTATTTAAAGAACAGCTAATTTTGAAGGAAAAAAAAATGTAACACAGCATGCCAAGGGTTCAATTCGTGTTGCAACCCTACCATTTTCACCTCCGAGAAAATTCTCCAAGTCCGAGTCACCCGCACTGACCAGTGACCCAACTCGCCCTCAAGACACTCGAGTCCGCTCCCACCACACCCCAAAGCTCGAACCCAAACTCTCTGGAAAGCAACCGCGCTTTACACTAAGCCGCTCTGCATAAACAATCCATACAGAAATATTAAGCTTTAATCAGAAAGAATGAAAAACCTCGAAGCTTTTGCTTGGCTCCATGATCAATCCGAAGAAACAAACGTAAATAAAACAAAACGTGGCAATCAACACCTCGAACCAATCAATCAAAGACGCCGATAAAACAACATGCATTCAAATATTTACAGAGGAGAAAACCACGCCTCTTAACGGAGGCAAAAATGCTCTAAGCAATCAAAGTTGATTTACAAAAATACACGCGTGGAGAAATGAAAACTAAAAACACTGGAAAATGAGATCAATTATAGAGAGAGCACTGTTCACCGATATATCCTCACCAGATAGATTTTCCGACAAGAACTTGACGGAGACAAGTTTCTACTTTCTCTATTCTGGACCCTTTTGCCGGTCAGTGAAATACTGAAAGGTATTGCAGTGTCTCTTAGTACAGAGATGGAGGGGGGTTTTTGTAGGTGACAGGGAGCATCGGTTCTAACTCAGCGAAGAGAGAAATTCTATGAATAGCTGCATTGTATTGCTAGTACTCGTTGCTTTATCTTCACCGTACACGTGTCTCAGATCTAGGCGGTCAGGTTCTTGATGATAGACTAAAAGGGATGGACACTGCATGACCGTAGATTTGCATGACCAAACTCTGACCAATTTTCGTGCAGTAGTAGTGAAGGTGAGCTTGCCATATTTCTTACAAATAAGTTCGAGAACGTGGCATCATGCTATTGGTTCTCACGAGTGCTTATGTACATTGCTGACGTGGTGGGAATGATCCCATATGCTGAACGCAGATAATAAGAAAGCCTTGGGCCAATGGGATCCTGCCACGCCCGAGCCTTGAGTGAATAAATAATTAATAAAATGAGAAATATTAGTCGGGACCAAGAGGTCTCATATGATAGCTGTTAATTAATCTTGAAGTTTTACATAATTATCTAATAAGATTTTAATTTTATCGTGAAAAATTAATATAAATTAAGTGATTTTTTGCATTATTTAAGATAATTGAAGAAAAGTTTTGCAGAGAATTTGATATTATATTAAGTAATTTGCACCATTTTAATAAAACATTATATTGGTCATATTAAATTAAGTAAAATATTGAAATTTCTTCTTGCAAATAAATTAAAATCATAGTAACATATTTTAATTAATTTTAGAGAGTACATGCATATCTATATATATATATATATATATAGATATGTGAATTATTATTATGAATAACACAACTCTAAGCTTATTTAATAAATTTTCAAATAATTTCACGTTGAAATTTACAAAATTCATTTTTAATTCAGTTAGTATATAGATCAATTTTTTGTAAATAAACAAAAAATTTATTTCTTATCATATTTTGAACAATAATAATATGATTTTAATTAGTTATCGTACACTGAATTAACTATTTAAATGTGATCATAAATATATTTATTTTTAAAAAAAAAAAGGAAAATCTTTAAATATTATATAAAATCCAGTGTTCTTTGAATTTTTTTAAAGGTGATTCATGAACCAGAAGTAATTGGACGAATTTTATATTATTTTGACCTTTCACTTGCCTTTCAAGCATAGATTATATTAACCGCATAACAGATTTTTAATGATTTAATTTCCATAATTAACAATGTAATTAAATGCATAATTATGTAATTTGAATCCATTACAGGTGACCTTTGAGATGTCATTTATAAATGTTAATTACAATTAATGGACTGGGGAAATCAAACGGCTTCTCTATTTTTTTATTTTTATTTTTTTGGGGCAGACAAAATCATCAAAATCAGAATCATTAGATTCATGTGGAGATATATATATACATATATATATGATTAGGAAAATTATTAATTACCTTCCTAATATTAATAGAATTTGAGATAAGAAATCCAACGGGGAAATGTCATTAAGGTATTTAGAAAACATAAAAACACATAAAGAAATTTACTTGGTATTATTCTTTAAAACTCTGATTTAAAATTAATTTTAAAATATCTTAATCAAATAATAAATTCCAATATAAAGTATCTTAAAATATTTGTGTATATTACTGATAATAGTCCCCTTATAACAATGTTTTTGATCTCATATTTCAACTATTTCCACCTGTTGCTTTCATATAATAAGCAAAAATATTAATATATAGTTTTGATGAGATTTGTCTACATCCATGGTAATAGTCCTTTATGAGTTTATTTTTCTTAGTCTTCAATTATTAAGTCATTTAAAAAATTTGTCATTCGTAATTACTTTAGATTACGGTTGCTAATTACATTTATCTTAAGCTTATGGTATGTCTCTAAATAAATTTATTATATTTTTTTGTAATACTTGGTTTCAGAATTTAATCCGGAATTAATTTTAAAAATTAAAATATGTATAAAAATATAATTTTGAAATTAATAAATTTTTATTTAATATAAAATTAGGAAAAAAAAATAAGTTGATGATGAAATTGAAAACAATTTTGAGAAAAAAATGTGAAAATTTGGGTTCAAATTGTGTTTTTGAAAAAAAAAATCAGAAATTAGGAATTAGAACGCAATTAAAGAAAATTGTGCCACGAAAAATTGTCCAGTCAGGAGCTCTAACGAACCGGAGCGCGCTGCGTAGTAAGGTACGCTGACTCGGTGTCACGCGGAAGGTCACGCTAGCGATCCGCGTGCCCTGTGATCGGACGGTCCAGATCCGTTCCCTCATCAGGCGCGATCGGATGGTCGCAATTAAACACGATAAATGGCCCAGATTCACTCTTTCTTTAAATGTCATCTGACGGTCGAGATCAAATTGCAATGAACGGTTCATATCTATTTTTTCTTTAAACGCGATTGGAGAGTCGAGATCAAACACAATGACCAGTTTAGATTAACGCAAGAGGAGTATAAATATTTCGCATCACACCGAACCCAAACCCTAGTTGCCAGCCTCCCGTCAGAGAAGAAGAACCAGTTA